GATACACGTACAAAAGCAAGTGTACGACTTTTTAAAGCATAGAGTTTAGACTCATAGACTCAATGTGTGATTTGGACACGGGTATCAAAACACAACAAGTAATGTGTAGCTTTTGTTAGGATAAGGATTTTTTTTAATTATGAACGTAGAAACCTGTGAGAAGACAAAAGTGAACAGAGACATCTCGTCATAAAAGATTGAAAGATACAAAGTGAACATATACAAACAGTACCATACTACCATGTGTTTCCCCTCTTGCACACTCTTCTCACTCCTTTAGGACATTAACTTGTTCTGCTTGTCAGACCTCTTCCCTACTATGGCAAGGGATGGGAGCACCACTGTAGGAGTTGCCTGGCTTGGCTTTCCAAAAGCCCCTATTTCCGTGACCTGTAGTATTCAAGTGTACGCTGCCGAATTTCTCTTGGTAATATGTGTCATGTCAGTGTTATGTCGATTTGGTTACGTGAAGTATTCCTCCGAGTTTGGGTAACTTGGGTGTGGAAATGTGACTCAAAGCTGTCATTTGTCTTAAACTCATATGTTCATAGCTGAATTCTAACTTCAAATCTTCTATTATCTGAGAAGAAGCATAATATTTTATAGACAATTGCCTGAATAGATGTTCTTCAAACCAGTAGCATACTATATAACTTCCTTTTTGTTTTTCCCAGGGTCCGCTTCCACTATGGTCATCCGGATGTCTTTGACAGACTCTTTCATCTTACCAGAGGTGGTGTGAGTAAAGCTTCAAAAGTTATTAATTTGAGTGAGGATATCTTTGCAGGTAAGAGTAGTGCGCTGGTTCTTCTACTTGATCTGTGTCAGTTACAATGTATGTAACTTATGTGATGGCATTGTTTTTACAGGATTTAATTCTACTCTTCGTGGCGGAAATGTTACTCATCATGAGTATATCCAAGTAGGGAAGGGAAGAGATGTGGGGCTTAATCAAATTTCGATGTTTGAGGCGAAAATTGCCAATGGTAATGGTGAGCAGACAGTCAGCCGTGATATATACAGATTGGGGCATCGTTTTGATTATTTTCGAATGTTGTCATGTTATTTCACCACAGTTGGTTTCTACTTTAGCACCCTGGTAAGTACACATTTTGCTGTCTTGCTGTCAATGAAATATTTCAGCTTATCTCTTAACCTTCTGCACTTTAATTCTGTTTACAGATTACTGTGCTCACTGTGTATATTTTCCTATATGGCCGTCTTTATCTCGTGCTTAGTGGCCTTGAGGAATCATTGAACAATCAAAGGCGATTTCGGAATAATAAGCCGCTTCAAGTTGCTCTGGCTTCGCAGTCATTTGTTCAAATTGGATTCTTGATGGCATTGCCTATGTTGATGGAAATTGGTCTGGAAAGAGGTTTCCGAACGGCTCTGAGTGAGTTTGTGTTGATGCAACTGCAACTTGCTCCAGTTTTCTTTACGTTCTCACTGGGAACCAAGACTCATTACTATGGGAGGACGTTGCTTCATGGAGGTGCAAAATATCGACCTACAGGTCGAGGGTTTGTTGTCTTCCATGCCAGATTTGCGGACAACTACAGACTGTATTCTCGGAGCCATTTCGTGAAGGGAATTGAGCTTATGATTTTACTTATTGTATATGAGATTTTCGGTCAATCTTATAGAAGTCCAGTTGCTTATATCTTTATTACCATATCAATGTGGTTCATGGTGGGCACTTGGTTATTTGCTCCCTTCCTTTTCAACCCTTCTGGCTTTGAATGGCAAAAAATAGTCGATGATTGGACAGACTGGAACAAATGGATAAGTAATAGAGGGGGGATTGGTGTGCCTCCAGAAAAGAGTTGGGAGTCATGGTGGGAGGAGGAACAGGAGCATCTTCGCCATTCTGGCTTTCGCGGAATTGTTGCTGAGATACTCCTATCTTTGCGGTTTTTTATATATCAATATGGGCTTGTTTATCACCTAAAAATCACAGAACATACCAAAAGTTTCCTGGTATGTATCAATGAAAGAGTTGTCCTATATTTTCTACAAAAATTTGCATGTCATATTAATTGATGAGCTGTGTTACAGGTATATGGGTTATCATGGTTGGTGATCATGTTAATATTATTCGTAATGAAGGTAAGCTCATACATACCAATGATACCAATATATTCTGTATATTTTTAGACATGCAATGTTTGTTTGTTTTTTTTTTTTTTTTTTTTTTTTTTTTCCTTTTTCATTTTGTATTCTTAATGGGTTATATACTTCATTTCTGTTTTGGGTAACCTACAATTATTCTTTTTTATAACCCACTTTTATCTGGTGGGGTTTGTATCATGTTCTTCGTTGCCCAATTAACACTTTGCACAATAATTTGATTTGACTGCTCTGGGGTCTGTATTTAATTTTTTCGAGGTAGGATATATGAAGTATATGGATTTGCATGAGGAGAAGGCATTGGGATGGAGGAGGATGATATTTGTCGATGATTACACGGAATAATCAAATTTGGTTCATGTAGCCGACCCCACTTATGGGATTAAGGCTTTAATTGTTTGAATGGGTTTTTTGGGGAATGGGGTCATAAATTGCTTTCTTGTTGGTTTGTACATCAGCAGTCTGTTTGTGTAAGATTTGGGGAAAATGGGGATGTACATTGGTTTTTTGATGGTTATTTGTTGTGAGCATTGTGTAGTTTACGAAGTTTGAATTGGCTAATTAGTTATGTTGCCACAGTGCATGACTTGCTCCTCCCTTGTATGCAGACTGTTTCTGTTGGAAGACGGAAGTTCAGTGCAGATTTTCAGCTGGTATTTCGGCTAATCAAAGGCTTGATTTTCCTGACATTTGTCGGTATTCTGGTTACACTTATTGTGTTGCCAGGGATGACATTGCAGGACATCATAGTATGTATTCTTGCCTTCATGCCCACTGGTTGGGGTTTGCTCCTGGTGAGTATTTCTGTTACTGGTAAACTTTATTAAGTAGTTCACTTTGTCTTGATGCATTGCATTTCGGTGCATCATTACATACGTTTAATCTTAATAATTGACATGAAAAGTTAAGTTCCTGTTAAATTGTTACTGGCCCTTTTTTTTTTTTTTTTTTTTTTTTTTTTTCTATTTTATGTTTTATTGCATTAGGGAACTTATTTATCATGTCTTGTTCTTCATAAATTGTCTGGTGATGATTCTCAATTAATTTACAGATTGCCCAAGCGATAAAACCTGTTATTCGTAAGTTTGGATTTTGGGGTTCAGTGAGGACGCTTGCGCGTGGGTATGAGATTGTGATGGGATTGCTTCTATTCACACCCGTGGCTTTCCTTGCCTGGTTCCCATTTGTCTCTGAATTTCAGACCAGAATGTTGTTTAATCAAGCATTCAGTAGAGGTCTGCAGATCTCGCGTATTCTTGGTGGACATCGTAAAGACCGCACATCCCGTAACAAGGACTAGCCTTATTGAAAGTAGCTCTAGTCATGTATTAAGTTGCTATATTGTAGTTTATTCTTATTGAGAACTTATCTACCCTGTTCTAAGTGTAGCTGTTGTAATTATGGATTCATGCAGCATTTTTGGTAATTTAAAACTTGGGTTGCCAATCAATGTATATATTAGCTTTTGCGAGTCTACACTATCCTAGCTTGTCAACCTACTTTTTGAATTTTCGTGATTATGTTATTGCAAGTAACTTGTCCTTTAAGCGAAGACTCCCTCAATTCAAAGAATTTGTGTAGAACATCTTGCTGAATTTAATTGATAAAATGTTTTCTTTTCAACATATCAATCAAATTCCAATTAGAACATTTAGAAGTGGTCATCGGAAATATGGGAATAAGTAACCTTGCATACTCGTGTTTGTCAAGGAATTTGCAAATTTCAAAACTTGCTCACCATGAACATAATTGGAGCCTAAAGGGAATTATAACTCCCTCTGCTTTAGGTTGGATGTAAATTGCAATAGGATGAGTTTATAACTACTCCGTATTTGCATGTCTTATTTTGACCGTTTGAATTTTACTAACCTAAATTTTAGATTCAATCTCAAAGTAAGGTCTGTTATCATTCACTGAAATGAAATGAGATGAACTGAACTGAACTGATTAGAGCTTGAACTGAGTATTTTTTAAGAAATGGAAATTAGAAGCTGAACAATTTTGAACTGAATTTATTAGAACTAAGTTGAACTGAACTGAAAATAATCGTATGAGATGTGTGTATAGGCTGTGAAAAATAAAAAAGGAATTATATTTAGAGACAGAATGAGTAATATCTGACTTTTTTTTTATAATAATTTATAATAATATTTTATTATATCGTATATATAAAGTGAAAGGGGTTTTGAGTGATAAATTTCACTTTCCTAAAATGCCCCTTATAGCTTTTCCTTTTTTTGAAAAAAATTAAAAAGAACTACCAACTTTAGAAAAAAAAAACCATCATCTTAGTAAAAATTACAAAAAAATCTATTATTTTTTAAAATTTGTTTTTAGGAAAGTCAAATTTTTATATTTAACCTACATAACATCTATCATATTTTTATATTATATTATCTCAACAATTTTTAAACCCACTAATATTTTTTTAATTAGAATTAAAGAGATAATATTGTGAAAAAAAAAAATCTAGCTTGAAAGATCACTTATACTTCACACGCACGTATTGTGCCTCTTAGGTTGTAAAAATAAAGTCGAATCAATGATCAACCTATGCACAAAATTTAATTGTATCAATTATCCTTCAACAAGAAATTTAAAAACTTTTGTTTTGTTGAAAAAAAAACAATCAATACTATATATATACTAAAGTAATCACTTGGAATATTCTAGAATTACACGCGTTAAAAAATTCCTACCAAAAACTTTTTATTTTTTTTAGATTTTCTTAAAAAATAAAAAGATAATTGATGAAAAATAAAAAGATATACAGCCTTATTTTAAAAATAAAATAAAGAATAAACCGCCTAACTAATTAAACAATGACAACAAATTTAAATAAATAAAATATTAAAATATACACATATCCGAGCATTGTTCGGGCAAAAAACTGGTTACCTTTAGTTCTTTACTAAACCTGACTTTGACGATCAAATCTCTTAAAAGAAAAAAAAAAGACAAAGAAACAAAAACTGTCACTTCATCTTGCTTTTGCATACAATCGTGGTGTTTTCAAATATATACTTTCCGTTCCGATACCTGTATATTCATTTCCCGATCTTAGGGTTTAAGCTTAACTTTCACACTCTTCTCCTCTTTTAGTATATATCAAAATGAATTTCGACCAATTTTGAAGCTCTATAACTCAATTTTTCAACAGATTTAGTTTCAGAGGTATGGATTTCTATTGATCATTGGCAGAAATTTCTGTTGCCCTCTTTGTTTGCGTTTATTTTGAAGATTAAATTTGATAGATTGTTGTTGTTTTATTTATTTATTTATTAATGTCTGTTCTTAATTTGAAAAAAAAAAACCTTTAATTGCATCAAAATTTGTCAACTTGTATGTTTAATTTGGTATTTGATTTATGTCGTGAAAATGAGGTAATTGGGTGTTGTTGATGATGGTTTGAGTCTGCATTTACCTGATTTATTTGTTTGTCGGATTGAATTTTGGGGAGTAGGAAATGTCTCGAGCCGAGGAGCTATGGGAGAGGTTGGTTAGGGCAGCTTTGAGAAGTGCAAGGAGTGGTGCATATGCTCATGGGAGACACACAACTGGGATTGCGGGCAATGTGCCGTCTTCGCTTGGTAATAGTAGACTTATTGATGATATACTCAGAACTGCTGATGAAATTCAAGCTGAAGATCCTAATGTTGCTCGAATACGTAATGTTCCCATTCGCTTACATTTATATTATGTTGAATTAAATTATTGGTGGTTCTTTGAAATATTGTATATGGGTTTCTGGTTATTTATTGTTTTCTCTTGCAGTTTGTGAGCATGCATATTCCATGGCTCAGAATCTCGATCCTAATAGTGAGGGAAGAGGTGTTATGCAATTCAAGACTGGTTTAATGTCTGTGATCAAGGTATTACTTCCTCCATCTTTTTAATTTGGGAGAAATCGGAAGAAATATATGCTAAAAGGAAGCAGCATTCTTTTGGTATTACTGTGCCTATATATATACGTTAAAATGTGGTTAGCTGCTGTATGCAGTGTGCTTGAATGTGCTGTAGATAATACATCCTACTAGACTTGGCCTGTTAGACGACTAATAGCTGGGGTAAAGGTGTGAATGCTGGGATTAGATTGACTATCTTTTAGAGTTTCTGTAATGTTGTGTGTAGCTTGTGTCCAAGATTCATAATGTATCTAGATGATGATCGGATGTGGATACGTATATTTTGATTCTGGCATCAAAGTCATACTTCTGTTAGATTAATGCAAAACGATTGAATTTCATTTTTTAAGCCAATTGTAGCAACTTTGTTTTTGGGCTATTTTTTTTATAACCAGATTGTACTATGATATGCTTGTCTCCTGCCGAAGAGCAGAACATTGGAATATTTTTATGCCACATGGCCCACTTCATTCGTCATTTGCTGTTAAGGACTTATTATTTTGATTTGTTGCTTAGCACACTGTTATTCTTATATGTTTGGTTCTTAGGAGACGTTTACATTTTTCTTTCTCTTGCTTAAAATCTTCATTTGGGATTTATATCTGTGCAGCAAAAATTAGCAAAGAGAGAAGTTGGAAGTATAGATAGAAGCCAAGATATTGCTCGTTTGCAGGAATTCTACCGGAAATATAGACAGATGAATAATGTGGATCAGCTATTGGAAGACGAAATGAAGCTCCGGGAATCGGGAGCTTTTACTGGGAATCTTGGAGAGTATGCTCTTCTGCTCCAGCTGAATTTTCTTCTCTGGCTTCTTTTATATTGCTCTCTGATTTCTTTTTAACTTCTAAACAGTATGTACTAAATTCATCAAATGCAAACTTGCATTTATACCTTATTTTTCTTACATATTGACTTTAATTGACCCTAAGCACACTTGGGCATAATGGATGATCACATAATTTACCTCTAGGAATTTTCAAGCTGAACATATATACTGCAATGTGATTTCTTCCAATCGGGCTAAATATCGAAGAATAACATTCCATCTTGTGGCATAACATGTATAAAAATTAGGTCTATTACTGAGCAAAAGACAATGCAGTTTAGGACCTTTAGGCTTTGATGTATTGTTATTGCATGACTAAATGTTGAGGTCATAACAAGTTTGAAAATATATGCAAGGTTTTACATGCGTATTGTCTGTATTCTCTGAAATTCAGAGATGCTTGAATTGTTTATGTCTAATTTTACCGACATATTGTGCCGTTACAGTATGGTCTGTGTGTAACAGTATTTGTGCACCACGTACTTGTGACTAATATGTAACAATTTTTTTTTATTGAATTGCACTTTATGGTCTTTATCTAATGCTGTCTACCTTACTAGTTACTACAACCCTGGTAGCAATGGGCAGAGCTTGTGTACATCCTTATCAAATGCAGTGTTTTTCATTAGTTTTATTCTAGCTTTTTTTTTTGGGAGGTTTATTGAATATTTTAATGTTACTAGGTGCTTGTGTTGAACACTTTAACAATTTATTTTTCTTAATCAGGTTGGAAAGGAAAACTAAAAAAAGAAAACGGATTTTTGCTACTCTAAAAGTGTTGGGTGAAGTGCTTGAACAAATGACTAGTGAGGTTTCTCCCGAAGAAGCTGAAACATTGATTCCAGAAGAGGTCAGATATGGAATAACATTTTTTCATTTGTTGTATTTTTATTTTGTTTTATTTTATTTTCTTCCAATGAGGGTTTAAATTTTTTTTGTAGCTATGTGATAATTATTTGAACTTTGAAGTAGCTAACTCTTTTACCAAGAACCTTTTTTCTACCTTGTTATATTTCTTGTCATTTTTTTCTTTTGTATTTTCTGTGCCTATCTTTCTACCATCTCTGACTTAACTTTGCCGAAAAAGTCCATTGATCTAGGGGTGTATCTAAGTCAATAGCATATTAAATATTAATCTCAGTCTTGGTTAAATCATGTTGTATTAGTATTTTTATTTTATTTTTATTTTTTATTTTTTATTTTACTTGAATTGATACCATTCTTGAACAGTTGTTGAACATTGTTTGATGAGCTATTCATTTATGAACATATGGTTGCTCATTGAGAAATGCTTATTCATCCTTTATCATATTTATGAAGTGTGTTGTATTCTTTTGGAAAGATTGTTAGCTTACATGTTAGTTATATTTGGTCTGTCTATGTCTATCTCATTATTCCTCCCAGATTTAAGTTTCGTTTATTCTTGGACACATGTTATTAGGAGAGAAGTTGTAGTGGATTTATGTTCAGGTCTATGTTACTACTTGGACTCGAGTACCTATGTCCGACACGGATATGTGTCCAAGTGTCCGACCCGGCTATTTTTTAATTTTTTTTTTAATGATTTTGAACTAAAATGAAGTGTCCAAGTGTCCCACCCATGTTCGAGTGTCGAGGGTCTGACATGGGTACGTGAGGTGAAATGAAGAGTCGGAGTAACATAGGTTCAGGTAAATAAAAAATAGAAGTCAGTGCGTTCTTATATTATGTTATCATATTTTATTGTATGGACCTAAATCTAATGAGAATTTGTAACTTTTTTTGAGAACTGGAGGAAGGAGTTATACTTTATAACTTCATATAAACGAAATTTGATTTTGGTTTAGGGCCAACGTTATGCTTCCCTACTGTTGCAAATTGCCTTGTGTTTATTGGTTCTTGTTGTTTTATGTTGACGTGATTCCTCAATGGATATTGTTTTTGCCCCTAACTCTGTAGATGGGTTACACTGACATCTCTTTGGCGTCTTTTTGTTTCAAATTCTTAACCTTACTATTTATAGGCTGTAAAATGATATTTATGGAAGAAATGAAGATGTTTTTATTTTTGCTTATACTTAATTCTGTTTTGTTTTACCTGCCAGCTTAAGCGGGTTATGGAGTCAGATGCAGCTATGACTGAGGATTTGATTGGTTACAATATTATTCCGCTGGATACTACTAGCACATCAAACAGGATCGTTAATTTCCCTGAGGTCTGTTGTTGAAAAACACTGAGGAGATAACACTCTCATCAAGATACAGCTTTGACTTGGGTGCTTTGTTTATTCATTTTGACTTTGTATCAGGTGAAAGCAGCTGTGTCTGCTTTGAAAGACATTCAAGGTCTACCAGAATTGCCAGTTGATTTTGTGTCTCCTGTCAGAGGCCGTGATATGCTTGACTTTCTGCAATATGTTTTTGGGTTTCAGGTCTGAATCAGATTACTTTTTTTTCCTCCTTTCTCTTTCCTGTTAAACTGAACATTGTTTGCTGGTATTATATCTCTGTTTCCTGGATTATAAACGAAGCGTTTTTGTGCTGCCTAAGGTCAATATCCTTTTTTTTTTAAAATCTAATATCTGAGATGTTCTATTATGTATTCGAATGTGTCTTCATGCTCATACCATCTAATGACATAGGAAATATTAACTACACTTTCCCTGTTGTGTGTGATCTAGAATTTTTTTAGTCACAAGTATTTGTGCGATATTCTTGGAACTGAGGAATAAGATCTTTCAGAATAGAATTTTTAGTCACAAGTGTTTGTTGGATGTTGTTGTGATGTTTGACTTCATATTCAGTTTGAGTGGAACACTAGTTTATTATTTTTGTTCTTGTAAGTTCTTATGATCGTCATCTTATGTACCTTTTTGCTTTCTTTATTTGGGGAGAGAGTACAAAGATAGAAAAGAGTGAGTATTTTGTGTTTGGTTAATCTTACTCTTTTTAGTTCAGTACGTTAATCTTATTTTACGCTGGCTATGTACATATTTATTGCCAGTTCAGAATTCAACTGCTATGTTCTACAATGCTGTAAATTCTTTGATTCTTTCGCTGAATTTTGTTTTTTCTGATTATGTTACAGTTGTTTGAGTACATTAATTCCTAGCCTAGCATTAGCTTCCAATGATAAATTCTTGTGTTTACCCTTGATATTAACTGGCAGAAGGACAATGTTTCCAATCAGCGGGAGCATATAATTCTTCTCCTTGTAAATGAGCAATCTCGGCTTCGAATTCCTGAAGAAATTGATCCGGTTGGTACTTTCACTTCTTTTACTGTGGATTGTTGGCTTGTTTGTGTTATGGCTGTGTAATTATTAATTGTGTAGTTAGCAATAGCAATGTGTTTTTGATTTGAAATATATTTTACACATGTATGTTGTTATAGACATTATTCTTTAGTATGATGAAATTGTGTATGATTTTATTTCTGTTTTTCGGTTTATATATGATATAGATGTCTGTCATTTTTTTTCCTGCTGTGTATTTTGTGGTGCCTTTTTGTGTTCAAAATACAGTTTGATTTTTTCTTTGTGATTAGCTATTAAAGTACAGCTATTCCTGCACATATTAAGCGCTAAAATGTGTTGCTTTTACATTTGTTTTGTATAGAAATTGGACGAGGCTGCTGTACAGACCGTGTTTTTGAAGTCCCTGGACAACTATATCAAATGGTGTAATTACTTGAATCTTCAGCCAGTTTGGAGCAAGTATGAAGTCTATCTTAATTTTAGATCATTATATATTTATTTTGTTAGATACATACATTTTTTAGTGCTACCAATGTATAAAAAAGCTCAAGGCGCACTGAAGGGAGAGGGGTTTTGCTGCGCCTAGGTGCGCCTCTTTGAAGTGTGGCGCACTATGTGGCCAGTTAAATAAATTTAGCTGAAGTTCACTTCAAGTGCGCCTCATGCGCTTTTTGTGTGCCTAATCAAAAATGCCTCGCCCAGACCAAATTAAGCGCATACCTGATCGCCTTGCACCTCAGCGCCTAGGCGTGCTTTATCAAACACTGAGTTCTACCGGTGTTCGTGTAATTTACTACGTTGTATGTATTACCTCTCGTATTGAGCAGTCTATGAATAGTTGCGCCTGACCTGGGTCATTCACCTATTTTTAGTCTGGTGAGATGATTTTGACTCGAACATAATTTTTTTTCCATATTTTTTACTTTTTATTAATTATGCCCCCCTTCAATAAGGTGTTGGGAAATCCCTTTCAACTTGGTGTGCCTAGAGCCTTTTTATACATTGCCTTTGAGATCTATCACAAACATCTTCTGGGTTATCTTTCCAGGCTCTGGAAGTCTGGATATTTATTTCTTACCCTTTGTGTATGTGGGGGCCAAATTAACCTTGTACTTGGAAATTTTTGCTGTGCAGTTTGGAGTCCCTTCGCAAGGATAAGAAGTTGTTGTTTGTGTCATTGTATTACCTAATTTGGGGTGAAGCTGCAAATGTTCGCTTCCTTCCAGAGTGTTTATGCTACATATTTCATCATGTAAGTCAACAAGGACAATTATTTTATTCTTCGAATTTGAATTTATCTTTGAAATAGCCTTTAGCTGTGCGAGGCTGGTACATACCTGCAGTCATTTTGTCAGGTCATTTGTCAATGTGAATTGGACTTGTTAATATATATATATATATATATATATATATATATATATATATATATATATATATATATATATATATATATATATATATATATATATATATATATATATATATATATATATATATATATATACATATACGTGTAATTCATTTTGTTTGAGGATGAAACCTTCCTAAGTATCTGAAATATTTTGTATCCCCTTTGCATTTCTGAGAACTCCCTTCATATGTGGTGTATTTTAGTTCATTTTGAAATGTCTTATGTGTTGAAACTTCTTCAGATGGCCAGAGAAATGGGTGAGATACTGAGGCAGCAAGATTTGAAGCAAGCTGATAGCTGCAGAATTGGTGATAGCGTCTCGTTCTTGGAGAGGGTGATATCTCCTTTATATGATGTGGTTGCAGCGGTAGGTGCTTCTTTCTGCGTTCATCTTTTGTACGAAGTTTGATAATGTAGGACATAGACCAGTAGCAGTTTGTAAGGCTCAATGTGTCTTGAATTATTTATGGATAAGCCAAAGCTGTTAATCTTGGATTCATATGTTTGCCATAGCCTTTTTGATCAACTTAACTTATTTAGATGACAAAATAGAACTGTTTGATATTGGCATATGTCGGGATTCTCTTTGTGGCAATTGTCCATGTATATTCCGACCTTTGCAAGAGTTATACCTATGTGGACCTTTCAAGATTTTAATGCAGTAGCTATGGTTTTGAGTCAGACACTGAGAATGTCTGGTAACACTATTTATGTTGATGTTAAAGGAACAGAAAGCCATCAAATCTTGTAGCCATCAGAGAAACTTGCCATAGAAATATTCTTTCTTATATATTGATATAAGAGGTCTTTTGTTGTTTATGTGTTACTATTTTTGTGGTTTGTCTTGTAGGAGGCTTCTAACAACAACAATGGACGAGCACCTCACTCTAAGTGGAGGAATTATGATGATTTCAATGAATATTTTTGGTAAGGGCTCTTGAATGCATATTTCATTGAAATGAATTGGCGATAGGCTTAATGTTTCTCTTCTTTACACTGATTAAAAATGTGTGTTATGTTTTAGGTCAATTCATTGCTTTGAGCTTAGCTGGCCTTGGCGTTTAAGCTCAGCATTTTTTTTGAAGCCTGAAACCAAGTCCAAAGTAACAATTATTCACTGTTTATGCTATCTTTGACTATCTGTTTTATTTATTTTATCTACTTATTATGTTCCTTGCCAAAAGCTCCTGTTTGAGGTTGTTCTTTGGTTCTTTGTCCAAATGATTCCTTTCTTCTTCTTGAGCTGGAAGGCATACAGTCCATACACAGTACTTGAAATAATATCCTGATGGTACAGTGGTTTCATCAGTTTTAGATGCTGTTTGTTTTAGAATTATAATAAAAAGGTATCCCTAATCTACAAGCATCACTACCCTTCTCTTTACAACCACCATCTCCACCCCTCTGTGTAGTTTACACTACCATCCATTTGTTGTTATCTTTCCTTTGCCGTTATCGCTTCTCCCGTTGCCGTTGCTATCTCTTTCTCTTATATCTATATGTTGGATGGTGGTTTGGTGAATGTTTGTGAAAACTGAAGGTTGATTTTTGGGTGGGTAGTGTGGTATTTGGGTGGTTATGATTGTTTTTTTAAATAGATGGGGTGGTTTTTAAGTGGTTGGCAGTGGTTTGGATGATTCCTTTTTTGGAGGATCGGGTTTGGAATGTACAGGGAAGTGGGGGAAACAAAGTGGTAAAGGGACTGATAAAAAAGGCTTAACAAACAACAATTACAGGAGTCAAGGTGGTTGTTTCCCTTATCTTTTCCTGAATACCTCACACCAAACACTCCCCCCCCCCCCCCCAAAAAAAAAAAAAAAAAAAAAAAAGCACTGTTTGTATTGATTGCCTTCCGTGCAATAAAGCGTGGCATCCTAATTTTTATTTTAGGTTTTGTATTTTGTCTTGATGTCCCATCTAGCTCAGTAATAATTTTGTTTGATTCATTTGATATTTGAATGGGCAATGCCATAAAGTTGTGTTTTTATTTATTCTTGGTCTTACTTATTCCCTTGCCCCATCATGTTGTAGAATTTGTTGAGGTCTGGTGGAGGAAAGCGTCAGGGAAAAACATCCTTTGTTGAACATCGTACTTTCTGGCATTTGTACCATAGTTTCCATCGCCTCTGGATATTCCTTGTCATGATGTTTCAGGTACTCTGTGCTTTATAGCTTCAAATCTATATATTGATCTGGTAATGCTTTTCCCATCCTTGATTTCCTTGCTTTATAGTGGTTGTTACTTTTGCTTATTATTGGGAATCATCACATTTCCAGTGTCTCGGAGATAATCAGTGTTTAGTTTTCTTAAAAGAGAATGATATTATGCATTATGTAACACCATGTACTGTCATCAACCTTTCCATCCTTTAATATTGTTCCTGGTTATGTAATTGAAGAGAGCTGTGTAGTGTGTGCAGAGCCTTGCCTTTACTCTGACAAAGAGGTTGCTTAGAATTTCGATAAGAAACTGTCATGACTGGCTTTAGGAGGGATAATTTGGTAATACGGGTCTACGCTAGAAGAGTCAAACATGGGTATCAACAAGCAGCAGCAAAAAAAGAGCAATTCTAGGAACCTAGACAACTCCGATTAAGTAGGTGACAAATTTAATTAAGAAGAATAGAAGGAAAGAAAGCAATCAGCTTCTAGTATGTTTTATTATGGTTTCTTCATTTTCGTTAAGTAGTCACATGTAAGCTTTAAGGTCAACCTTGACCATTAGTATAAGTAAGTTAGTATGTGTAACTTAGAATGGTATCCAGAAATTAAATGAGGAAAATTTGGAGAGATGCAACCTCAAGTTGCTAGGAGATTTGTAGCCTCAAGCTACTACTTGGTATCCTTTCCATTAATCAGTTTAATGAAAAACCAGTCCTCTTACTAATGAGTATTATTGAGTGAAATCAGCCTTAGTCTATAACAGAAACACAATGACCCTTCTGCTATTTTCTAATAAAAAGAACCAACTTTTAAGGAGTTGTTTGTATTTTGACCACTATAATCTTTGTTGTTTGGAAACATCTTTCTTCAACTGCACCTGTCTGTGTACTTGTGGAATCTCCCAACAGGAAAGATTAGTCTAATATTTTAATTTTTTGGGTGATATGGTAGTCAACACTAATCTTATTATTTCGTTTAATGAGCTTCTAATCCATTGAAGAGTATAAAGATATTGGAAAGGGAGAAAAATTTCTGCTGCCAACAATTACATTTTTTTTTCCCGGTTTATGGTTATGGTCTAGGCTTTCATTCTTATCACAAAAGACTCTTTCCAAGTTGTATAGCAAGATTACCGTGGTTCCCCTTTGTTACAAAACTGGTTGGGAAATAGTTGTGATAATGTGGGAGAAAGTCTGCTATGTAGAAAGAACAGCAGGGAGAGAAAAAATGGTGCCCAGTAATAATGAAAAAAAAATTTAGATTGGTTTGTAACCCAATTTTATGCCACCTAGATATGGTAGCATCATCTTGTTTTGGTTATCATTTGGGCAGTTGTTTTCCTATATGACAGTGATTCGGGGCTTATAATATTGATAGTGAAAGACTGAAAGGTAGGGTGTAGGGAGAGGTACGTTAGAAAGTTTAATTGTTTGAAATTACCTCACTGGATTGATATACGTTAGGGTTTTAAGAATGTGTAGAAACATTACTGAAATTGGTAAAACAAATTTGGATTAAACCAGTTAAAAAATGATTGTATTGATGATTATCATGGTGGAAGTTTCTGATGGCAAACTGGCCAGCATTCGAGTGTTTAGTGTTCTCCCAACTAACTGTCTCTCTATCTCTCTCGTTAATATTCAACCTACTTTTCCTCTCTTGAATAGGCTCTATATTTAGAGCTATTTACTTAGATGAACAAACAAGTTTTTTGTTCAAGGCTTCAAGCCACTAATAACCGATTTATAATGCAACTACCTAAAGTGTCTTACCTGCTAATACTGATGCTTAGCACAATGCCTAATTTTAAATTTGGATAGGGATTTACTCTAGTGAATTGAACTTCAAAGGATAAAGGATGAACATGCACATTGCAACTCTTTTTTTTTTATTTTTTTATTTAAATGAACTGAATGGATTCTCCGTCAACCAATGAACCAACTCAATCTTGGCTCTTGATTGCCGCTTTTTTATGGTTCAGAGTTAGCAAGATATTTAAGTGCACACAACTGAGCTTACAATTAAACATTTCTATTATTAGTTTCTTGCTAGTTGTATATCTATGGTTGATGTACATTTCTTATGAAATTGTGTATTTCACTTACCTGACTCATTTTTTGTTTCCAGGCTATGATTATTATTGGTTTTAATGGTGGGCGTATTGATTCAACAACTGTCAAACAAGTTCTTAGTCTTGGGCCAACATTTGTTGTTATGAAATTGATCGAGAGTGAGATCCTTTCTTCTTTTGATCATATCAATTTTCAGCTAGAATTTCTTGTGTTGATGCATATGCAATTTAGTCTTAAAAATGCCATTTCTTGATAGGTGTTTTGGACATTCTCATGATGTATGGGGCATATTCAAAAACACGTCACTCAGCTGTTTCTAGAGTATTTCTTCGATTTTTGTGGTTTGCTTGTGCTTCAGCTGTCATAACATTCCTTTATGTGTAGGTTCCTGTTACACTCTCTTGCTGAATTTTAGCTGTAATTGAAGATTTTATAGTCTCTTCTAATATCATCCATGCTAAGACTAATAGGTTTTGAATTTTCTCAATGGTGGTTGCAGGAAGTCTCTTCAAGGGGAGGAAACTATTTACAGAATCTATGTCATTTTGATTGGCATATATGCTGGTTTCCAGCTCTTCATTAGTTTTCTCATGAGGATACCAGCCTGCCATCGGCTTGCTGATCAAGGTGATCGCTTTGCTGTTATCAGCTTTCTCAAATGGATGCGTCAGGTTTGTGTTTTCTATCAGTTTTTGTAGGGGTTGCTGTCTTATTTTGTTTTTGTTAGTTTTCGGTATTTGCTTGTTTGCTGATATAATAATTGCCTTTTCTTGTTTTGCAGGAACGACATTATGTTGGCCGTGGAATGTATGAGAGGACATCCGACTTTGCTAAGTAAGTTAATCCTCAATCTTTTCTTTTGTCGCTGACTTCCCCTGCTGGTTGTGGTTCCATTTTCAAATAATAGGATCACCATCGTTGTACTCTCATGTAGGGCTGTCAAACAATTCATGTTGTGTCGGGTTCGGGTCGATAAAACGGGTTGAAAAACTCTTGACCCAAACCTAACCCGTTTATCAAACAGGTTGAAAACCCTTGACCCAAACCTAATCCGCTTATTTAAGGGGTTACCCGGGTAACCTTTTACCCACATAATATGTAATTGACAAATTAATATTCAATTCAAAAATAAAAAAGACATCATCATTAATTCTTTAAAAATACTGCAATAATTTATAGTTAGTAGTTTTAGCAAAAGATACCACCACAAGGGTTTAAAGCTAGTAGTTTTAACAATACAACCATAAATAAGAATCGTCTCAAATTGATCGCCAAATTAAATTTTAATTTACTAAAGATGAAAATTGTAATTTTTTCGCCAAATTAACCGCTAAAAAATTACGAAAATGTATAAATGGTGTTAAGGTAATTTACAAAATTACAAATTTTGAATAAAAAAATTCAGTATTTTATGCTACTTAATTTAACCCATTTATATAATTGGGTTATGCGTGTCGGTTTCGAGTTGAAAATCGTAACCCAAACCTAACCTGTTTAAATTCGTGTCGTGTTCGTGTCGACCCAATTATGTAAACGGGTTGAGAATTCTTGACTCAAACCTTCTTATTTTGTGTCGAGTTTGTGCTGGGTTTTCATGTCGTGTCAGCTTTTGGCAGCACTACTCTTATGTTTTTTTATTATACATTCTCAAGTCTATAAATATGATATTGCATGGATATTGTTTCATTGAGATTCATTTTCCAATTATATTGATAATGGGGTTACAAGTGTATTTTTAATGGTCAAAGCCCCTTTGCACATTATGTTGACTATTAGAAGGCTTCAAGAGATCGTAAAAATTGCTTGATGATTGTTCTCTCTTGGTCGGGACTATAGTATTGCTCATCTGAATCAATGTGTTGCTTTGGAGATTATAGGTCTGCCTTGGTATCTCATCTCATTTGAACATAAAATTTCAACACTTGATATATTTGATGCAGGTATATGTTTTTCTGGCTTATTGTCTTAGCTGGAAAATTTTCATTCGGGTATTTTGTCCAGGTAAGTAAAATCACAATTCTCATTTCAATACTTTCTTCATTGTCAATCCTAATGGTAGAGTGCTGGAGTCTTAGGCTCTGTTTCTTATCCAATGTCAGTTAGTTTCGAGAAAAACTAAGTCTAGTTAAGTTAAAATAAGTTACGTTTAGCAAAATCAAGGTGAGAGAACTAAGCTTTAGACAATTGTAAATTGGATGTGATTATGATTTTTTCTTTTTCCTTAACAGATCCGGCCGTTGGTTAAGCCCACAAGGATCATAGTCAATGCGAACAATATACGATATTCTTGGCATGATTTTGTATCACAAAGTAAGTTAAAATTTATTGTTTGGGTATAAGAGGTAGGTTTCAGTGTATCACATGATTTTCTAATTTTATTTTTTCTATAGTGAATGGGTCCAATCTTTATGTCTCCAACTCCCCATGTCTTGTAGTGTGTTCTTTCTTCTTGCTATTTACATGGTTTTTAGTTGAATGTCATGCTAAATTTTATACTACTCACTTAAATGCTGCTGTAGAATCTTTTTTGAAAAATTAGAATGACTAGTTAAGTTCTTAATTGAAATATATTGGAGAAATTAAATTTGCTGGGTGTTGTAAGCTTATGTTTGTGGCGTACTGGAAAGTTTGAATAAAAAGAAGAAATAAAACCAAATTAATTAATTTGATAAAAATATGTGATGAATTGATCTTGTGCCTGTAGTCTGCAATAGGGATTATATGTCGAGGTAGAGTTAGATGATGGACTAGTATTTTGTCCTTCAGTGCAAATTTGTGATATGTGGTGATCTTGTTAATTAAATTAGGAAATTTAATGTCTTATGTTAATGCTACAAGATAATGCTTCTTTTTGCTGGTTTTAAAGCTTCTGCTGTGGATTTGATGTTTGGTTTTGCAGATAACCACAATGCTATAACAGTCCTCAGTGTATGGGCACCTGTATTTTGTGTGAGTTATCTTGACTAATCCCGCTCCCTTTCCTCCTCTTTTTTGCATTTTTATTTTTCAGCCCTACAGTTACATGTTTGCTGCAATATTAAATTGTATAATCTTTCCATGAACCATTAAATTAATGAAGGTAATGTGTTATTTGGTTGTTTAATGTTTTTTTAATCCATTTTTTTTATCTGTTTCAGATATATCTATTGGACATCTATGTGTTTTATACCGTAGTATCTGCTATTTGGGGATTTTTGTTGGGGGCAAGAGATAGGCTTGGGGAGGTGAGCTACTGTCCAACTATCATTGTACTTCCTTTTCAACTCGTAGGAATCAGTTTGCAAGTTTTATTCATCTGTAACATTTCAGATAAGATCATTGGAAGCCCTTCACCAGCTATTTGAGCAGTTTCCAAGAGCATTTATAGATAAACTTTATGCTTTACCTTATAAAAGGTTTTCCGCCTTTTCTGCTGCCCTTTTTATTAATGCTCTGCTTTCTTAAATACTTCCTCCGTTACGTGTTATGTGCAACAAACCTTGTTGCACGTTTCCCAAGACAAAATTTGATAATGATGATTAACAATGTGAAGGGTGTGTAATTAAGGATAAGAGAGAGAAAGGGGGATAATTAAATATATAAGTGCCACCACTACCAACTGCCATCCTCTCCACCAACACCACCACCAAGCCACTAATAACACCACCAGAACACCGCCAGTACGCCACCAACACCAATCAACCACTAGTCACCCATACCTTAACCACTCTCTCACCACCCTAACCACCCATCCCGTAACCACTCTTTCACCACCAACACCGTACCACCAGAACACCAACACTAACACCATCACCAGAAACCACCAAAAACCCACCTTGCTGCCACCATAAACCCCGAAATGCAGCAACCTGTAACCACCCAAGATCTACCAGACCCACAACCACCCAAAACCAACCTGGCTTTACCACCAAACCCAAAACCCGCAACCTCATAAACACCTTCAGGCCTCCCTTTCCCACCCATTCAACCACCAACCACCCACCGTCTCCTCACTCACCAAAATCCACAACCCCCCACCTCCCTCCCCTCTCCCCGAAATCACCACCAGCCACCCTAACTATGAAGAAAAAAAGCTTAAATTTGGAAAGTATTACCTTGTCATTGCTAATTTGGGGGTTAATTTGGTCAAATTTAACCATGAAAACTCTAGATCTAGAGTTTTCATGGTTACATTTGACCATAAAAACTTCAACTTTAAGCTTTAATGGAGGGGGAAGGGGCAGCAACGACTTAAATGGAGAAGGAAGTGGCGGCGACCCGATCCTGTGGTGGTGGTGGTATGGTGGTTGTGAGAGAAGAGAGAGAAGATTGGTGGTGAGGGTGGCTTGAAAGAGAAGAGAGAGAAAATAAGGTGGTGGTGGAGTGGTGGTTGTTAGAGAAAACAGAAAAGAGAGTGGAGGTGAAGGTGAGGAGAGAGAAAATATGGTGGTGTGGGTGGTGGATCTGATTGTGAGGGAGGAGAGAGAATGTGTGTTAGTATTTTTATTAAGGGTTGATTATGTTAAGTTAATAAGTTAATAACATGTAGTTAATGTATTAATTGGATTGAAGTAAGGGTTTTTTAGTAAATTTACTCAAAAAAATTTACTATATAAGGAAACTTTTTTTTTGTTGCACATAACTTGTAACATCCTAAAATGGCAATTGTTGCACATAATGCGTAATGGAGGAAGTATTTTGATATTTCCTTTAGCTGTCCTTTCAGTTCCTGGCATCTGAGTACCTGCTTCTATATGCAGGGTCCCGGAGCATGCAGCTGGTCAGGTTGGTTTAGTGAACAGCTGATCACCTTCCTTTCACTAGGCATCATAGTTTGGAATGTTAATAATTATCTTCAACTTATTTCAACTAATTTGATTGTCAAGTTATTGTGGTTGGCCGCGGCTGTTTAGCTCATATATATGTAGTGCAAGAACCCAAAGTCACCTAATAGCTTACTCGTTTGATCATCTGTCAAAACAAGGTTGTTGAATCAAGCAAGGAAGATGCGGCTAGATTTTCACCCTTCTGGAATGAAATTATAAGAAATCTACGTGAAGAAGATTACGTCACCAACTTGTGCGTATCTTTAATTGTCTCCTACTCTGCTTTTTCCAGTATTTTAATTTTCATTCTTACCATACTCATATGTTATTTATGGTCTGAGGTGCATCCTTGTCTCTTATTACTTCCTTTCTGATTTAGATTCATCTGGTTATTTTTATTAGGGAAATGGAGTTGCTTCTCATGCCTAAAAATAGTGGAAGTTTGCCCTTGGTTCAATGGCCTCTCTTTCTTCTTGCTAGCAAGGTTTCTTGTTTTCTGTTATAACTTTAATTTTTTTATTCAATGTTGCTTTTGTATATTACTGTAAGTATCTTCTTTTTTTTGGTTGCTCTACTTGTTTTTGCAAGATATTTCTTGCACGAGATATTGCAGCAGAAAGTAAAGATTCCCAAGATGAGCTTTGGGAAAGGATCTGGAGAGACGAGTATATGAAATATGCTGTTGTGGAGTGCTATCATTCCATAAAGCTTATTCTGATGGAAATCCTGGAGGAGCATGGAAAAAAATGGTTTGTGGTTATATAGAAGTATCCTGCCGACAACGAAAATATTTATCGCAAAGCTTGATGTTTATGTGTATAAACTTGGAGGATCCAAGCCAATGACTTGTTTGACTTACTGCAGGGTGGAGAAGGTGTATGAGGATATCGAAGCATCTATAGCCAAGAAGTCCTTTCATATTGACATTGAATTGAGCAAGTTGTCTCTGGTTATTCAGAAAGTCACAGCCCTTATGGGAGTGTTGGTATGTGTATCTTTCCTTTTGGCTTATTTGTGTGGTTTGGAGTATTTTAGTTAGTGCTTTACTGCTTTATTGATTTAATCCTTGTATTTTGGCTTTATTATTATTGTTATTGTTATTGTTATTGTTAAGTTATTATTAATTCTTGTGTTGTTGTTGTTGTTGTTGTTGTTGTTGTTGTTGTCGTCGTCGTCGTCGTCTCACAAGACTGTAGTCTAATTTATCGAAAATTAAAAAATAAGAAAATTTGCTATCCATGAAGGGGTCAATATCTTGTATTTTGGCTTTTTGGATTTTAGAAATTGTGAACTTACTGTATGATTTTGTATATAACTGTGGTTATTAGAATTTGACCTCCTTCAGTGGTCTTATCTAGTATTGTATATCACGCGGTGCTGTTTCTCTCTTTTCTGCGGTTTATTGTAAACCCAGCAGCATCAGGCACCATATATTTTCATGAGTTTATCTTATGCCAGATTTATGGCTTAAAACTCTTGGTAATGTTACTATGGTAATATGCATTACGGCTATTCCATGTTATGTCTCTTCCAACGGGCAAGCATTGAGCTGAGTTCCCTTTGATATTGGACTTTGTGAACCTGTTCTGTTTTAACAGCTTATAGTTGTGCTGATAGCTGATACTTGATTTATATATTTGTGATAATGAGACTCGAAAGACATTGCTTTCTCAAAATTTCAAGGTATCTAATTAGCTAGGTAACCATTTGCAATTTGGCATTGTGCTGTTTGCCTGTTCTTTTGTTCTAATATTAAAATATGGTACTCTTTTTCTCAAGGTAGGAGGAGCATACGTGGTTGATACACAAGTGTGCTTATTCTTTTGCTTTTAATGTCCTCTGGTCTCTGACTTGCTTTGGTTATGCTTCCTGTGAAACAGAAAGGTTCTGGGACAGCAGATCTTGAGAAGGGTGCTGTTAAAGCCATTCAAGATCTCTACGATGTCATACATTATGATGTACTTGTAGTGAACATGGGGTTAGTCTCTGTCCACTCAAACTTCATAGGATTCATCACATGCTTCTCCTTTTATTGTCACGTCTCCTTAATCTGAAGATGTAAGTATATACTGTCTTACTGAATATCTTATTATGTTTGTATCCACAGGGACCATATGCAGACATGGAGTGTGCTGTCAAAAGCTAGGGCGGAAGGTAGTTTATTTTCGAAGTTGAAGTGGCCTAAAGATCCCGAAGTGGTATGGTCAATTTTTTTACTACCTTTTTTTTATCTATCACAATATTTGTAAATTTTTTCATTTAAGTGAGATTGAGACATTCAATCTACAGAAAGCCCAAATCAAAAGGCTGTATTCACTTTTGACAATCAAAGATTCTGCATCAAGCATACCAAAAAATCTTGAGGCTCGAAGAAGACTCCAATTTTTTACAAATTCCTTGTTTATGGACATACCTGCAGGAAAAGTTGTGCGTGAGATGATGTCCTTCAGGTGAAAAATATGCCTTGATATTTTACTGCCAATATTAATGGTTTTGTCTTAAGCTGAACGGTGAGAACTGAACGTCTTTAAATGGCTTTGCAGCGTATTTACTCCTTACTATTCGGAGACGGTGCTATACAGTTTGAATGAACTGCGGAAGAAAAACGAGGATGGAATATCACTTTTGTTTTACCTTCAGAAAATATATCCAGGTAGGTTTATGTACCATCATGAGAAGTACTATGGTAGTTGTTTATCTTACAACGGATTCCTTTCCATGTGCATAAGTTACAAACAACAAATAATGGTAGCACTTTATATTGCCCTTTCTCCTTCCTTTCCAATATACATACCAATCATGCACTAAAATGACTATTTTGGCAAGAATAGATACAGTAAAGACGTTTCACAGGTTCAATTGTGAACAAGTGTGAAGTCAAGTCTAAGATAATCTTTGGCAGTTTTGCTAATTAGAGGTGTTGTCTAAATGTGTTTTCTTGGTAGCTAGGTGAACTATGCTGCGAAAGTCTGGAGGCTTAGGCAAGATTTTTTTGAGATGTCATAGATAATCATTAAAAGATCTTTTTCCCTTAGATGGCTGTTGTTGGAAATTATGGTCAACAATAAATCTAGAATGCCTATTTTGGCTAAATTGTGATGTGGGAACTGGCTTTGTGTTTTTTATTTTTTCGATTAGTTTTATAAAATATCACCATCCTTCTATAATGCATGAAGTGAAGTCTTGGTCCGGCAATGGCGATCATATATCTTCTGGACCAAGTTGTTTTTGTATTTCCTAATTTCCAGGAAATGGCAAAAGCTTAATGCCTGAAGCTGTTTCCAAGGAGAGGCTGATGGAAATAGCTTTAAGGCTAAACATTATTAATTTTGTTGTAGTTTAATATCACTTTTAAAATGTCCAATAACCAAACCTACCCTATTATTTTTAGACTAAGCAAATATTTTCTCCACATAGGAACTTGTTGGGAAAGGAGCATCTCCTTGGGATATGTTTTCTCCTATCTTCTGGCAGTATAAAAGACTATTTTCTACTTGGATTAACCCGTGGGAGGAACTTTTTATGTATTGCTTACGTTTGGGGCACATCTCTTCTGGTAATACCTTGTCAAGCTTTGAGCTGTCATAGTATCTGTGTTTTGGTTTTGAAAGTCTTTCCACTTTAAGTACTACCCCTATTTACTTGGTTTAAATTAAGGCCTCATCAATGCTTAGGATGAGGTGTTGAGTTTTGCATCCATTGCTTGAGAGGGCAAATGTAATTCTTGGTTCTTTACCATCGGCTGGATGTTCAGTGCATTATGCTTTGTATTGTATTGTCATTAGTCCATAAAATTTTGTATCTGATTATCACTAATAAATTAGATTTGATATTTGGTACAGGTTTTGAAATAATGTTTATAATTAAATTAAGCATTTATCCTTTGAGTTACAATTACTTTATATAAACATATGCCCTGGGCTGTGCAGATGAATGGAAGAATTTTCTTGCTCGAATTGGGCGTGATGAAAATGCACAGGAAACAGACCTCTTTGATAGTCCTAATGATATTGAGGAACTCCGTTTTTGGGCATCTTACCGTGGGCAAACATTAGCAAGAACTGGTATGAGTGCTTTTTGTTGAATTTTGAATCTCCTTTTGGTACAAAATTACTATTTGCTTTGTTGACAATCGTTCTTTTTTTTTTTTTAAAAAAAAGTATAAAGATTATAAATTATATGCAATTTATCAATTTCTAAGCATAAAACTGCGTTTACACATTAAAGTGAAAATATGCGAAGCGAAGGTTGCCAAACTGAAATTTTTTCCTTAACTTAATGGAAAATTTTGGCTGGGCTTTCATGTACTAGTTTTGGTGTTTTGATTTACATGTTTTGGTGGGTATCTCTGCAACCTATATTCGCTCATGGGTATTAGTGATTCTACATTTGTTCTGAAATTGCAGTTCGTGGAATGATGTACTACCGTAAAGCCCTCATGCTCCAGACCTATTTGGAGAGGATTGCTTCTGGAGGTGTGTAATCTTTGATTACTGGTGTTTACTTTTTATTTTTTGCTCAAACGATTAATCAATTTTTTTTTAACATTAACATGCAGATCTGGAGGTTCCAATATCAGGCAACGATGTACTTAATGTCCAGGGTTTTGAGCTATCTCCTGAAGCACGTGCTCAGGCTGATTTAAAGTTCACATATGTAGTTACATGCCAAATATATGGAAAACAGAAAGAAGAGGGAAAGCCTGAGGCTGCGGATATTTCTTTGCTCATGCAAAGGTAGTTATTAAGTTTGTTTGTATGTTTAGTATGTCACCTTTTCACCTATCTTCTATATCCATTCCGTTCTTAGACATGTTCATGATCTGTATTGCTTGCTTGTGATCTAGAAATGAAGCTCTTCGGATTGCTTTTATTGATGTTGTTGAAACTATGAAGGATGGGAAAGTGCAGACCGAGTACTTCTCCAAACTTGTAAAGGCTGACATCAATGGACAAGATAAGGTTATTTTTTGTTTCTTCCCTGTAATGTAGCATGCTAAGTTCAATACAAGTAAGAATGCTGTGTCGTATAGTTTCTTTAGTCTGCTTTCAAAATTTGTGATTTAACTCAATATAAGTCTCACTTGATATTTATAAATCATCCTCATGTCATATAATAATGTATTGGAAGTTTGGAACAGCTTATTAAATCTTAGTTATACCAAAAAGGTTTAGCTTTATCCCTGGAACTTTGTTTTTAGTTCCATGCATATATGTTTCCATATGTATATACATAGTATATATTTCATTTTAAACCGAATTCTGATGTGTTAGAGCGTTGGAGACCATCTGTGGTTATATTGTCAAATTTGAACACTTGTGAAACTTGTACTTTTGGGTTTTTTTTAGCCAATTTTATTACATGTAGATTTTAGCTTCACTGTATACTGTGATGCTCCAATTCTAGTGCATTCTCTTCCCTACTAACACTTTTTTGGAAGCCTGTGTTGTTTGTGTCCAAGACATAATTGTCTTCTCTTGTTTATGTTCTTTCTCTAGTACCAATTAACAAAGTAAGAGATTTATTTTGCAGGAAATCTACTCTGTTAAGTTACCAGGAAATCCTAAACTTGGTGAAGGAAAGCCCGAGAATCAAAATCACGCTGTTATCTTTACTCGTGGACAAGCAGTACAGACTATTGATATGAATCAGGTAAGTATTTGCAGTTGAATTTATTTAAATTATGTTGCTGTCCTATATTGTAAAATAATAAAGATCCTAACTATTTCTGTCAGCAACAAAGGGAATATTTTTTATTTTTTTTGTTCAAAAAGCAATCTGATTTTGTAGTTATTAGCTTGGGTTCATGGAGGGATTTTATACTGTTGTTAAATAATACTTATTGATGCTTGATATGGTATGCTGCATGTTGATTTTACAAAGAGCATGATTTTGCCTGCTATAGAAAATTTGACACTGTTTCAATACATTTTCCACTTGATGATTGGTTCTTTGAAGTTATCATCGAGGCTTTTTCTCAGTTGCTTTGAATGATGTTTTAGGATAATTATTTTGAAGAGGCTTTGAAGATGAGAAACCTTCTCGAAGAATTCAATCTTGATCATGGACTTCGTGCCCCCACTATTCTTGGTGTCAGAGAACATGTATTTACCGGAAGGTACCCTCTTTTAAAATACTCACAAATTTATGTTCACTTATGATTTTTGTTTGTGTACCAGTATATATGCTTCGTAATAAACCACTATGTCCATTTTAATGCAGTGTTTCTTCATTAGCTTCATTTATGTCCAATCAAGAAGCCAGCTTTGTAACTCTTGGACAACGAGTTCTTGCTAATCCGTTGAAGTAAGTTTGTCCTGTAAAGATTGGAGATTGTTTTGCAAAGTTTATTTTTTCTTCTCTGTTTTAATTAAATATGTTTTTGATGTTCTCTGTTAATTGTTGCAAATTCGCAGGGTTCGAATGCATTATGGACATCCAGACGTTTTTGATAGAGTTTTCCATATAACACGTGGTGGTATAAGCAAGGCCTCTCGTGTTATAAACATTAGTGAAGACATATTTTCTGGTTGGTTGTTCTGACAAAAATACATGCATTTTCTTTGTCTTTTACTGTAATTCTATAAACTAGTATGACATTCTCTTGATCTCATGTCTCATTGCTTTGCCAATTGACCTCACTAGTTGATTCCATAAAAGAATATAGAATATTATATTCTTTCTTTTGGGTTGTTTTGACAAAAATACATGCATTTTCTTTGTCTTTTACTCTGTTTTTAATGTTGATCCCATAAAAGTAGTATTGTTGAAACGGTTTGACAGTTCGAGTTCGGCATTAAATTGGGTCGGTTTGAAATTGGTTTAAGTGTCTCGCGGGTCGGTTTTAGTTTGGTTTAAATAGTTATCGGTTCGATTCGATTTCGGTTTATTCTTGAGTGGTTTTAATTTGGTTCGGGTTGTAAACAAACCGGCTATGTTACTTGGACTCGGATAAAGTGTCAAATTAGACACGGGTGTCTAAGCATCGGACTCGCCCATTTTCTTGAAAAAAGTTGTGTTTTTAGTTCAAAATGAAGTGTCGGTGTTGGTGTCCGACACGTGTCGTGTCGACACGGACACGCGATGTAAATGAAAAAGTCCGAATAACATAGCAGTCCGGGTAGTAAACGGTTCGGTGCACACGGGTTGCGGTTTGTTAACGGTTTCGGGTTAGAAACAGTTCGGTTCTTTTTCGGTTCAGTTTATTATAACTAGTTCGATTTTTTTCGGTTCAGTTCATAACTGGTTCGGTTCTTTTTCGATTCAGTTTATAACTAGTTCGATTTTTTTCGGTTCAGTTCATAACTGGTTCGGTTCTTTTTCGGTTCAGTTTATAACTGATTCGGCTCTTCTACGGTTTAACTTTTTTTGGATCGGTTTACTAAATTATGGTTCGGGTCGGAAGATATTTTATACTATGATAATGATTTGGTAGGAAGATATTTTATACTATGATAAATTTTCAATTAATATTAATTTGGCAAGAATAATTTTTGTACTATGATAAATTTTCAAATTCTTAATGGTTCTTTGTATTATCAATAGTAAGATTATTTTGCTTAATCCATATAATTACATTAAAAAAAAAGTTGGAAAAAATAATAATGCTCGATCGGTAGTAAACATGTGTGCTAATTAAATTTCATTTAAAACACCTTTTAACTTGATTTTAATATTCTCTTTATGGTAACCCGATTCATTTATAAGCGATCCGGTTCATAAACGATTCGGTTTGCAAGCGGTTCGGTTTATAAATGGTTCGGTTTATATACAGTTCGGTGCAAACGGGTCGCGGGTTGTTAACGGTTCGATGTAAACAGTTTTATCCCGGTTCAAACGGTTTTGGGTTGAAAGCGGTTTCGGGTTAGAAACAGTTCGGTTCTTTTTTCGATTCGGTTTTATTTCAGTTCGGACTAAAACTGGCTCGGTTCATTAACGGGTTCGGTTTTTATACGGTCTAACGTTATTCGGATCTGTTCGATTTCAGGTTCATTCACATACGGTTCAGGTCGGTTTTCGATTTCAAAAAACGGTTTTTAATCGGTTCGGTTCTCATTTGGGTCAGTTTGTTTAAGGCAGTTAAATGGTTTCGGTTTGAAATTTGACAGCACTACGTAAAAGAATATAGAATATTATTTTTTTTTTTTGAAAAAAATTTGACATTCTCTTGATCTTATGTCTCATTACTTTGCCAATTGACCTCACTAGTCCTTTGTCTCCCTTTCCCGTTTTCACTTTTCTTTTCCTTTAAAGCTAACATCATCCTCTTCAACATTCTTGAGTAAACCTATTAATTATTTTCTGGCTCTTAATTATTGTATGATATGCCATATCTTATGTATTACGCCGTCATAATGTTTGTTTTCAAACCCTGTGATAATGTAAGGGGTAATACATTGATTATTATGCATTTATGCTCTCTAAATTAGTACTATAGGTCTGTTTGATAACTTTACAATTAGAGATATCTCTTTGCCAGGATCTTGTGGCTTTTGGATGCTTTTCTATTAAGCCCTAGTCTTTTTTGTTCTATATGTTTCGTAGACCTGCATAAAAATGTTTTTGAGCGAAGAATATGATAAATCATATCATATCTCATCTAGCTTGAGTCTTCTTTGTTCTTTTGATTTTTGAAACTTGCATAAAAATGTTTGTCAAATAAGAATATGATGGTTTTAAATCTGAATCTGCAATGCAGGATTCAACTCAACTTTAAGACAGGGGAACATTACCCATCATGAGTACATTCAGGTATAATTTAAAGTTTACTTGCATACTTTTGAAACATCATCTTTGACTGTAGTTTACAGGTTGGTAAAGGACGGGATGTGGGGCTCAACCAGATTGCACTATTTGAAGGAAAAGTTGCTGGTGGAAATGGTGAACAAGTTCTTAGTAGGGATGTTTACCGGCTAGGGCAGCTTTTTGATTTCTTCAGAATGATGTCATTCTTCTACACAACTGTTGGATACTACTTTTGTACCATGGTACGTCTACAAATATCACTGTAAAACTTACTGCCAGTATGACTTTTACCATCTGTAGGAATGCATAAAGATATGAAGCTGAGATCTTAGTCAAAATAGTACTTTCAATTTCTAACATTAAAATTGGTAGGGAAGCATTGATTCTGTGGCATATATGTTTTGTATCACTAATTCTATAATTAGTCAAAGGGCTTCCATCAGCTGGTTGTTTTCATAAGAATGGGATTCTTGTTGCTAGCAATATTATTCTGACTCCAGATTTGGATGTGTGTTCTTGACTTCTTGACCAAATTCCAAAAAGAAGTGTCAAAGTTTCATACTCATGTTTTGAGTGGTTTATCTGACAAGTTAAAACATACTATATATCCCGAGTCTTTATTTCATTATAAATTGCTTTGTATGTAGCATTTTGTTGATGCTTTCATGATTATTTTGCTGCCATCTGTTAATGTATTTGTCTAGTTGTGTCGAAGGGGTGTTTATTAGCATGCACGCATGGTAACCTGCGTACTTGTTTTTAATATTGGCTCAATGCTAATTTTGCACAAATCTCCAATGGTTTCTCTAGCCTTTTTAATTTGACAGTTGCTGTCTAATACTTGTTAAATCCCTGTTGTACTTCTAATATTTGCATGTAACTAAGCTGTCACTTTTTATTTCTTTGCAGTTGACGGTGCTGACAGTATATATATTTCTTTACGGTAAAACATATCTGGTACGTTGAGTATCCTGCTAGAAAATTTTCCAAGTGTGTGCACTATTTTTCTCTTTCTTTTTTTTTTCTAGCTGAAAATGATAAATAGATAAATAAATATTATCAGATGAACTGACTTGTGCAAATACTGTAGTGTTTATCCTTTTTTTTTTTTTTTTTTTTTTTTTTTTTTTTTTTTTTTTTTTATCTAGTCCAGTACACTCAAAGCCTAAGCATGTGGATTTTTCTTTGCTTGATCACTCATTTTCCCTTGGTGGAACGTTTGCTAAATTTTGTTGCAGGCGTTGTCAGGTGTTGGTGAGACAATCCAAGATCAAGCTCGTATCTCGCAGAATACTGCACTTGGTGCAGCCCTTAATACCCAGTTCCTTATTCAGATTGGAATCTTTACTGCTATCCCAATGATTCTTGGATTCATTCTGGAACAAGGGTTTTTTAGGGTATGTTTTTTGGAACTTGACCTGATTTTGTTTTTTGTTAATGTGTCTCCATACCTCAGACAGCAAAACATTTTTGTTCACCCCCAAGTCCCCAACTAATTTATGATTGATAAATATGATTTTATGTCTTGTTAGGAAGTGTATTAGCATATTTTAAATTCAATAATATTGTGCAAAACATGTTAATATTATGAACCCATTGTAGGTTTTAGTTAGATTGTAGATGTTTCATGTTGTGCAATATTAGATGTCACATCTAATTTTTATGATTTTGATAAAGTTTAATTTACGGTGTAATCAATTATGCCAAGTTATTTTATTTATTATACTCTACAATGCTCTTAAATTGATATGAACCTCCCCCCCCCCTCCTTCTCCCAACACACACACACACACACACAATGTGTTGTTATAATGATGCTATGCAAGTTCCTTCTCCTGCTCTAGTGAGGAAATGATGTGGTGGTTAATTGCAGCCAGAACTCAATATAAGAGTTCTTCCTATGGTGAGGTTTTTTCTTTCCATGAAGTAAATTTTGGGGAAAATATTCCATCCCAATTGTGAACAATCACCAAAACGTTCATGAAGATTTGTATTAAAGTTTATGCTGTGAGAGAAATATGGTGGGTTATTGGGGAAAGAGAATGTTGAGGAGATTTTTTGTTTATTTCTTTGGTGGGATAAAAAAAAATTCATAAAAAATCTGATGCGGAGGAGAGGGAAATGTAGGGAGAGTGGTGAGGGAATTTTTTTCCTTCACCATTGAGAGTGCGCTATGTACAAAATCTGCCAACTACGTTCATATGTTTGCTCTTGGTGATCCCACACTAACTTGATATTTGGTATTATTGTTCATCTCTTCTGTAATGTCAGTGTGAATATTAAGCTTTATTTATACTGATGTGGATATTTGAATATGATTATAAGAAAATAGCATTTGATTTGTTTTTTTAACTGCTCTTTTAATGGTTTAATGCCTAAATTGTCTGGCCAGTTTGCAATTTTAATGACAAAGCAGTGATTGTGCTATGCTATTCTCTTTGAGTTGTTAATGATTGTCAGCTGTAATGTTCTTTCATGTTGAGATCAACTGAGATTGCGAATCTAGTCCTAATCTCTCCTTTATTTTATTTATTTATTTATTTATTTTTTTAATTTCAGGCCATTGTGAATTTTATCACTATGCAATTTCAACTTTGTTCTGTCTTTTTTACCTTTTCTTTGGGAACAAGAACACATTATTTTGGTCGGACAATTCTCCATGGCGGTGCACGGGTTTGTCATTTTCCTACCTTATACTTCCTTTTTGAATACATGCACCAGTTTGACTGTGGCTTATGCAATATTCAAAATATCAACTTTTTTATATTTTCCCTAGTATATAATTAGGGATATTATTGGTCGAAGTTATTGGCCAGTATAAAAGTCAAACTGGTTAGTGTATTTAGAAACAGAGGAGTATTAAAGTTATTATATTAAGAATTGTGTCATTTGATTAATAATTGTTTGTTTTAACAGTACCAAGCAACTGGGAGGGGTTTTGTTGTCCGTCATATAAAATTCAGTGAAAACTACCGGCTCTACTCTCGGAGTCATTTTGTCAAAGGGTACATCCTCTTTTATTTTTGTTGTAGCTTGTATTGTGACATGACGATTGTTTTTGAGTTGTATACTTTTTTGATGTAGGCTTGAGGTTGTCCTTTTGTTGATAGTATTTCTTGCATATGGCTATAATGATGGTGGTGCGATAGGCTACATTCTTCTCTCAGTCAGCAGTTGGTTTATGGCCCTTTCATGGCTCTTTGCTCCCTACCTGTTCAATCCATCTGGTTTCGAGTGGCAGAAGTAAGAAATAATATGGGTGAAAGCTACTTACTTAGCTACAATTGTCATTTTCAATTAATATTTAGTGTTATGATGCATTGAAGACTCCCAGTCTAATTCATGTTTTTCCTTTTGCTTTAAAGGATTGTGGAGGACTTTCGGGATTGGACCAATTGGCTTCTTTATAGAGGTGGTATTGGAGTTAAGGGCGAGGAAAGTTGGGAAGCTTGGTGGGAAGAGGAATTGGTGATTTTTCTACTTATTAATTTCTGGCACAGAATTCTAATGCTTTTACTTCTTGTCCGCATGCTTTTGTGAGATGCTTAGTGGGAAGAGGAATTGGACCAATCCTTCTGATGTTTGGTTAACAAAATAGAACGGGGGAAGTGAAAATTTATGGGATTTTGTAATTTGGGTAGGTGTTTGGTTGACACAAAAAGGCAAAAATGAGGGGAGTTGGAATTCATGGGATTTCTACTTCCCACAAATGTAGGAATGGCCACCTTCTGTGGAAACTGGAAAATGACCTTAGGAAATTAGTTCATCTTTGGTTGCATTCTTGGAACTAAAAGATTGTTTTGGCAGGGGCATATTCGGACTTTTGGTGGGAGGATAGCAGAGACAATTTTAAGCCTGAGGTTCATCGTCTTCCAGTATGGTATTGTATATAAGCTACAAGTACAAGGGACCAATACATCATTAGCGGTGAGAACTCAACTTGTCTCCTAATTATATTTCTCTTTGCTTAGTGGTTTCTGTCACCTGCTTACATTTGCATGCAAAAAGTTCTATCTTTTCATAGTGGGTGGTTCATGTTGAGATGAGAATTTTGTTTGGATAATTGATATAATATGGACTTTCTTTTTATTCTCTTTTAGATGTCTAGATCACTCTGCTGTTTGTTAAATAAGAGTGTTGCTATTTGGTGGAAGAATGTGCTGATCTTGAATTGTTTTCCCCCCTCGCAGATATATGGCTTTTCGTGGGCTGCTCTGGCTGGCCTTATAATCCTTTTCAAGGTTTGGTTTATAGAATTGGAAGGCTAATAATGTTATGTTTGTAATCCCAATTGATTTATTAATTGAATCTACTTTGAATCTGTGCTTCAGGTTTTCACTTTCAGCCAGAAGGCATCGGTGAACTTTCAACTGATATTGCGCTTTGTCCAAGGGCTTACATTCTTGATTGTGTTAGCTGGTATAGCTGTGGCTATTGTACTTACAGATCTATCTGTTTCTGACATATTTGCCTGTATCTTAGCCTTTATTCCAACTGGTTGGATGATTCTTTCGGTAAGTTTCATGTTTAACTCTACATCATTGCTATTACATTTCTCCTTTTTCCAAATTCTCGTCCCCTTCCTCTGGCAAAGTGTCGTGCTATCTTCATGTTGACTTTGTATAAAGAGTTTGCATATTTTAGAAGTAAACTTGTGTGGTGTCTTGCTTTCTCATTTATCCTTACATTTTGTATTTATACTTTAAATTCTCACATGTTTATTATGTTTGGGTGATGATATTTTCTTTTCTCTAATTTCTAAAAAATTTCCAGATTGCAATAGCCTGGAAACCGTATGTCAAGAAGCTGGGGCTGTGGAAGTCCATCCGGTCACTTGCACGTCTTTATGATGCTGGAATGGGCATGCTTATTTTCATTCCTATCGCATTTTTCTCGTGGTTTCCCTTCGTGTCCACATTCCAAACAAGGCTCATGTTCAACCAAGCATTCAGCCGAGGGTTAGAGATATCCCTTATCCTTGCCGGAAACAACCCCAACACTGCACTATAATTTTCAGTCGTTGCTCTTGTGATTGTATGTTAAGGCATCCCCTTGTCATTTTTTTACTGTCTAGGGTATAGCCGTTGTGTTTTACACTTGTTTGAGAGGATTGGGGCACTGAGCTTTCCCCTCGTGGCAGTCGTGCCTGTACATTTTGCCAGATCTAATTAGCCGGTTGTAATTTTGTTAGGACTGTAATTTGTAAACTTGGTTTCTTGTAGAAAATATAACGTAGGAAATTTTGTTGCTAGTACTGCATATTCCTCTACTGAAGCAACCTGCGATTCTATTGCTATCCTATAGATATCTTCAAGGCGGATTATAACCAATTCTTGTAGAAAACATTTTATTCCAATTTTTATTGGGTTTTTGGCCTATGAATGCACTTTGTATTAAAATCTTGGTGAAATTTATAAAGGGTTATTATATTAAACAAAATTTATATGTACTACTTAGTAATTAATTAATAAATATTTGATAAGTGATTATTACATAGTAAATTAAAATCAAATTTTTGTCAAAAAAAAAAAAAAAATCAAATCAATTTGCATAAGACGAAGATCATATGAGTTTATCATATGAATACTAATTAAAATTTATTACTGAGTAATCTGTATGATTCAATTAACATAAATCAGACAAATTTTTTAAAAATCATATGGCACAAGACTTAAGCTAGCATAAAACTCTTAAATACACCCAAAACTAATTTATTGTGGATCACTAAATGTAGTTGTTAAATTAATAAAAAGGTCATTATTTCAAAATAAGGTCATATTATGTTAAATTAACAAGGTATTTTGTTACAATTAAGGTCATATATAAAAGATAAATATATTTAGAGTTTATATTGAGAGTTTTTATACACTGGTCAATTTGATAACCAAGATCTTTATATTAAAATTAGGGTCACTAACATAATGTCATTTGACACGTGTGGATTTCAAAAATCTACTATTATATTATTGTCAACTAGGTTGACACAAAGGTATATGTTAAAATTATGGTAGCTATATTAAAATTATGGATACTATATGTTCAACATCACACCAATTAGTACATTAGGTCCACACCTTACTACATTAGTAGCTATTCCTAGCAAAACATGAATATTTAATCAAAAATATGTCATTAATTATTGTATAATATTTATTTTAAATGACTTAAGCTATATAAAAATGATTAAAATTTAGGGAAAATATGGTGAAGAGAAAGGCTCAAGATTATGTTTCAATTTTTAAACATTATTTTCACTTATTTTCTAGAATACTCCAACCGTTTTTAAATATTTGTTCTATTTCTCCATGCGCGGAGTTTTAGAGAAAATTGGAGGGAATGATAAAATATGGAGGTAGTGGGGGTAGGTGGAAGAATAAAAATATTGTAAAATGCAAAAGGTAGTGGAGAAAATCGGAGGAGAGAGAATATGAAATTTATAAAATATGATTTATGTTAGGTCAACTAGGTGAAAGAAATTATATAAATATTGTAAAAAGCATTCCAAATAAGGGAATGAAGCAATTATTTAAAAACGGCCGAAAAAGGAAAGTGGAACAAGTATTTAAAAACGGAAGGAGTTATAGTATTTCAAATAAGATGGATTCAAGAAAATTTAGTTCATAAAAATGTTGATAAGATTTAATAATGATTATCCACAAGTTTTAATTTGAGTTGTTTGTGACTTTTTGTTAAAAAAATGTTTATACACAATCAAGTACAAGGTGAATTTAAGGTTATTTTCTGCACATTTAATATTTTTTTAAACTCATTTTAAAATCTTAAAAACTATGCTGGATACACATAACTCTATGTGCATCAAATGTATATAAAAAACGGAGTAGTGATTTTTCTTTGAAATGGTCAAACACCCAAACCTTGAGATAAAAATTTGGGCTTGTTTGGCATCAGTTTTGGTTTTTAATTTCCTGTTTTTTTGAAAACCAAAAACAGGAAACAAGATAAAGGTGTTTCCACTTTTCTGTTGTCATTTTTCAAAATTATCAGGATTTTAATAAGTTCAAAATTTTTTGATTCATTATGGGGCATATATCATATACTTTAAAAAGCAAAAAAAGCAAAAAACACAAAACCACAGTAATGCCAAACGAACCCTTAGCTTTCCATTACACTTAAAAAAAAAGCTTATTTGGACTGGACTGGATTGGATTTCGGACTGGAGTCCGAATAATGGACACCCCTATTACTCCCATTGAAATTGAAATTATATTTTACAAATACAACTTTTTTTTTTTTGGTGTTTAGAGAGCCACAAGGACGAGGGTAAGAATCGATCCCAGAATCTCTTTGAGCCGGGAGGGAAGCTCTAACCACTTGAGCTATTCCTCACTCTCACAAATACAACTTGAACACTCTCACAAATACAACTTGAATTGAAGTAAAACTCTCATTTATCTACAAAGTAATTTACTTTATTAATTTTTTTTTTTTTTAAAAAAAGAAAAAAAAGAAAAGAAAAAGGACATAGAGAGCGGGGTAAATTTTCGGTTAAGTGTTGAAGAGGCGTCCTGAATCGAACATGTCGCTACAAAATGCTTACACGCCACGTAGATTAGATCTCATCCGTTGATTCCTCATCTTAAAATCAAACCGTTGCTTCCTCCCTTTTCCGCCTATAAATAGGTCTTACTAGCCAAAAAATTTCTCTAATTTTCGATTCTCGGCTAACCAAAAATTTAAGAGATCTATAAAATTTCCCCAAAATAAAATTAATTTTAGAGAGAGAAAGTATTAAAGGAGTAAGAATCTCGTGCTCTTTGCTCAGAACTTTCATCTTTTTTGCACATACTCTGATTGATTTGCTAGGGTTTGTTTCGATCACAATTTGATTTTAATTTTTTCGCATTTTAAATCTAATTTTAATCGGATTTTTTTGATTGATTTATATATATATATATATATATATATATATATATATATATATATATATATATATATATATATATATATATATATATATATATATATTATAATTTATTTGTTTGATTTTAATACTGTGGAGCTCGAGTTTTGATTAAGTTCGTCAATTTCTGTTTGTTTTTTTTCCATTAGGTTTTGAATTAGGGTTTTTCGACGAAGCAGTTTGTGAGTGGTTAAATCATTTAATTAAACAATGAACGATCAGTCTCAAATGATGAATCAGCATCAGGTAACGAATTACAACAACTCGAATTTTCCGTTTTATTCATCGGCTAATAATTATAATCATGATAATTGTAAGAAAAATCAATTCAAAAAAATGAAGAATAATCAGTCTGAAATGTTGATGATGAGTCACTCACAGATGATGAATCAATCGCAAATGGTGAATCAGCAGATGCCGCCACCGCCGCAGAATCAAGCTCAGATGGTTAGTCAGGCTCAAATGGCGGCGAACCAGCCGAATATGATGGTTAGTCAAGCTCAAATGGCGGCGAATCAGCCGAGTATGATGGCGAGTCAAGCTCAAATGGCGGCGAATCAGCCGAGTATGATGGTTGGTCAGAACTACGGTCAGTGGTCATTGCCTCCGCCTCAAATGAATGCTATGAAATTTGCGAATCCTATGAATCAAATGTATGCTGGAATTGCGAAACCTGGACGTAGTATTAATAACAATAATAATAACAATAATTGGAAGGGAAAGAAACCTATGGATAAGAGGAAAGATGGTAGGAGGAAGGATAATAACAAGCCATTGCCTGGTGGCGGTGGCGGTATTGGTGGTGTGCCTTCGATAGGGCCTGGTGGCGGTCTGAGCTATCAGCCGCCGACGCTTTATGAACTTGAACAGCAGAATAGACTTAAGGCTAGGAGGTTTTACCACCCTAAGAAGAAGTTTAATAGGATGGGACCTTATGCTCATGCTCCGAGGAATACTACTTCGTATATAATTCGAGCTAAGAAGTCTGGTGGGATTGCTTCGTTGGTTTCTCCTTGCCCTGTGACACCTGCGGTGTTGCCTACACCTGTGTTCTCGCCCTCGAGGGAGGCTTTGGTTGATATGGCTAAGGAGGAGTGGGGGGTTGATGGGTATGGGTCGATGAAGGGTTTGATTAGGCTTAGGTCTCCTGGACATGATGAGGCAGTTGATGATTATGATGAAGAGGATGATGGGGGGTCGAGTGAGAGTGATGTTGAGGAGCATGTGGAGGTAGAGAGGAGGTTGGACCATGATTTGAGTAGGTTTGAGATGATATACCCGAACAGCGGTGCTGATTACCATAATGTGCTGGAGAATAGAGTTGATGATCAGGATACCCATATCGCGCAACTGGAGGAAGAGAATTTGATTCTTAAGGAGAGGCTGTACTTGATGGAGAGGGAGCTTGGAGAGCTGAGGAGGAGGTTGTTGTGTCTTGAGAGGCAGAATCAAGTTGTGGAGGATATAAATGAAGAAGTTGTGGAAAATGTCTCTGAAAACGATAGTGAAGGACTAAGAAATCTTCCTTTTGTTGTTAATAAGCACAATGAGGAGGTTGATTCTTTGCCAGGAAATAGGGTTATAGATAGTGAGGCAAGGAGGGAAGACAGTGGTGAAACGCTGCACAAGGAACTCAAGGAGCTTGCTGTGAAAGAGGTCTATGATGATGAAGTCGTGAGAAGTCATGGAACTGGTGTTGGATTGGAGGAGTATATGCAGGATAATGGATTAACTAATGATGGGCTCGGGTATAGGTTGATGGTAGACAATCGGGTTGAACAGCATAATGAAGAGCTGCCTAGTGACTTAGGAAAAGGATCGATTGAACACATAGAGCCTGAGAATAATAAGGATATAATTAGCTCATCTGTTGGAAATGAAGAGGACAACATTAATGTTGCTGTGAAAAAACCTGTTGGAGATGCCTACATGGGAGAAACTTTGGCAGAGAGAGATGTGAAGGACAGAACTGAGGTCAACTTGAAGCAAGATGAGGCTGTGGCAGGTGGAACAGAGGCGGTAGGGAGCGATTTTGTGATGATTAATGAACCTGTTGAAGATGTCTGCATGGGTGATGCTTTAGTGACAGACAGGGAAGTCAAGAATGTTGAAACTACTGATTGAAGGTTGTGGAGTTGAAAGCTTAGAGAAGAGCATTGGCGACGGTGACTATTCAAGTTGTCCCGCGTGAATGTAAGTTCTCTGATTAGAACTACCAATTGCAGGAAGAAGAAAAAGTTTTAACTCCTGTACATAGTACTTTGATCTCTGGATATTTTGTGTTATTTGGTTTTTTTTTTTTTTTTTTTTTTTTGGGCGTTTGTAGGGATGTTCTAGGAGTCCAGTTTAAAATGCATATGACTAGATTAATATTAATTTCGGTTGACGTTGTGTCAGTGGGTAAATAGTTAGGTCGGAAGGAGGGGAAGTTGTAACCTTCCATTTAAAAATGGTTGTAAGTCATGTACCAGCCTTTCTCGGCTTAATGCCATTAAAACCTTGGTGTCTGATATAGTCTTTTTTATTGAATTATGTATGTTTTTAAGATACTCTTCAACTTACCATTGGAGAGCAAACTCATTCTGTAAGTTTAATAATTCTCAAGGTGGTTTATGTTTTAATTCTACTGAATAGCCGATTGTATATTAATCTTGTTCCATGGCTAGCTGAACATTGGCCACAAGTGGGTATATGGCAGATTGCTGACAAAGATGACGATGAAGATCATCTAGTAAGGTTCAGCCCTTTGATCTATTATACATTAATATTAAGTGGCTCTCTGCAGGTTTTACAGGCAAGATCTGTAAAGCTGTTTAAGAGATGAACTTTCATCGTATGGAACTTGATCATAGGTCTGTATGGTCTGGCTTTATAACTCTTGAATCTTGATAAGTGTTTTCCTCTGTTTTACCTCAGTGAAATCTTGTTGTCCATCATCTTTGTGGCAGAGGCTCTTTTTTGAGATTTAATTGTTACCCTTTTAAGGATAGGATGTATTGTTTATATGAGTTGTTTTACATTGACTGGTTTGTTTTTGTGTGATTGGGTTGATTGTAGCATGAAATCATTCACATTCTGGATTAAGGTTGTGATGTATTGTTTATACGAACTCTTTGTTTTACATTGACCTGCCTTGTGTTTGTTTTTCTGTAATTGGGTTGATTATAGCATGAAATCCAATACATTCTTATTTAAGGTTGTTTTTTTCTATATTAAGTACATCTCCCCGGATTAGCTCGAGTCATTTGGCTACCTACCTTGTCTTGGCTTTTGAACCCTAGTAGATGACTCTTCTTATTTGGCTTCCTTTCTTCCCTATTTCACTTTATTGTATTTGGTACCTAATTTTAGACCAAACATTGTGTACCATGCTCATTCAGTCTTTTTGAGCAATACTTTAGGGTCAGTGGTGCTGATAGTGTGATGTAACCGTGTAAGGTTGATAGAATACGGTTCAACAATTGTTGCTCTTGCTATCTAAATGTTGTACAAGTATTTGTGTCATGTCTTTCAATGCATTGTTACAACAGAAGCAGACTACTAATATGTGAATAGATGTTGCAGACGAGTTGTTTAATAGATGCAATCTTGAGATGGTTACTCTTTCAAATGAGCTCAGCTCCAGAAATCAGGTTATGGTTTTTGATATTAAGTTTGCAATTGCTGAGATAAAAGTGGGTAACACGAATATATTCTTGTTCAGTTATTGTGGGACTTACAGCATGGATGCTTAATGTTAAGGTTCTATTGCGCAACAAAAAGGCTCTATGGCCTCTATCGCAGAGCAGTTAGTCCTCTGCTACACTGTGGGATCAGCACTTACAAAGTTGCAAGTATAGTCGATTAGTAGTCACTCAACTCATGTGTAACGAGTTGATCAGGTCATTGTACATTTGTTATTCTTATTCATCTGTAATAAACGATATCATAATACCATTTATGTGTATACGAGCTTATCTAAGTATTAAATCTGTCAATCTTGGTTTAGGAGTACATGACTATTTTTCCACATAATTTGAATTGATCATAGTAGCCTATTGTGCCAATTCAACACATTGGGCCAAATTTTGTGCCATCTACACAGTTTTTCCCGACTTTACCATTTTATGCTCATTAATTTTTCGGGTTATGCCAACCAATTTTATACCGAGTACTTCAAATACGGAGTATGATAATTTATGATTTTGACTCTTCATATGAGCTCGTTTAACTTTTCATAGTCTCCAATTGCGTGTGAACCATCAATATCTTTAATTTTACACGCGTAAAATTCGTGATTACTGATTACGGGAAGAGACCATTAGAACAATATGTAATTAAGTATTCCAAAAAACAAGTAGGATAAGTGTGTGCTGACTTGTACGACTCGCGACAAGCCACCTGGCAAGAATAAAACAATCTTCCTCCATCTTCATTTCCCTCCACAAACCAACGGAAAAAACAACCAACCAACCTCACTCAGTGAGTCAGTTTGAAGATTCTCTCTCCTCTGTTACAACAATGGCGACTACGGAAATCGCAGCTCTAGGGTTAGGGTTTCGATTAACCCAATTTCCACCATTTTCTTCTTCCTCATCAAATCGAAACCCTAACAATGCGATTGCTTTCAATTCCATTCGTAAAACCCCCAATTTTCGCATTTATTCATCATCATCATCTCTTACAAATGAAACTGAAGAACAAGGGCTTTTTAGTAATTTCACTCGGGATGAGATTAGGCTTGTTGATGCTCTTATTGGCATCCAAGGACGAGGTCGCGCTGCTTCTCCTCAACAGCTCAAAGTATATATTCATCTCTTTCCTTTTTTTTTTTTATAAAATTAATTAATTGTATGATCTTAATTGTTATGATTAATTATGTTTAGTCTCTAATTAATGTAATTATTACAGGAAGTGGAACGAGCGGTTCAAGTTCTGGAAGAGGTTAAAGGTGTTCCTGATCCGGTTAGTTATTTGTGTATACCATAATTAACATGTTTGGAGTAATTTAACTAATTTATTAAGTAGCGAATTGCGTTCCCAAACCCGATTTGTGTATTTTAATCGTATTAAGAATTAGGTGACTTTAGAGCTTTTGTGTAACCTTAGTTTTAGGATGCGGCTTTATTCACTTGATTTTTACTTGTCTATTTCGTCTAATATTTTGAACTTAAATGAACTTATATGACGTATAGGAACTATTTTAGTTGTAGATTAACCCTTATTTATCTTGAAATTAACTTATTTGAACTTATTAGTCTTGAAATAAGTAGAACTAAGGGGAAAATCAAGACTAGTAACATATATGAATATAGGTATTTGAGGTTTGGGTTGCTAGCTAATACTACTTTGAGTTGGATTGGAGTTTCGACGTGCCTATCAAAAGGTTTGGTGAAATTGCTGGTTGATTTAAGATATTTGTTGAAGAAAATTGGTAGGATTGTAGGTTAGTTTGCAAAATAAGTGAATGTATTCATCATATCTTGTCTTGAAAAGAACTAGAAGAAGTTGTTTGCTCGATGTTCTTAGATCTTTTCTCTTACGAGAATTGGAGTTTGATCGTTTCCTTTTTAACTCGAGTCATGGCTCCAATGCCTCTGGCTTGATTTATACTTTCGATTTTTCAGACAAGCTCTAGTTTGATAGAAGGTAAGTGGCGATTGATGTTCACTACAAGGCCAGGAACTGCCTCTCCAATTCAGGTCAATAACAATCTTGTGCTCCTTTACATCTATTTATGCTTTGATTGGAATTCTATTACTTTCATTCAAAAGTTTTTGGGTGATGATTGATGTCGAATATTGCTTTTGTTCCTGAGTAGATTTTGTGCATTCCATCGTAATGAGTCAGAATATAAACCTCACGCTTTCCTAAATAGTATGGAGTAAATTTGTATCCTCAATTTTTCTTAACATGTTAGAGGTAGAAGGTGATGTTTCCTTTGATAAATGGATAGTTAAGTAAATGGTGCAAAGTTTTTTCCTTGACATGTGGATAAATATTTTATCTTTTGTTCAGTCTTTTTTTTTTTTTGGTTGGCCTGAGATTATCGATCCTTAATTTCACCCAGATCTCTACTGGTGCCATTTGATAATTTTCCTCCTATAAACTTTTCAACTTATCCAAATTTGATTGTGTATTTCCATGACAGAGAACATTTGTAGGAGTTGATTTCTTCAGTGTATTCCAAGAGGTATATCTACAAACAAATGATCCACGAGTGTCAAATATTGTGAAATTTTCTGATGCTGTTGGCGAGCTAAAAGTGGAGGTAAGTTATGCCCATTTCCAGCACAAACTGCTTAGGTAGTTTTGTAGTTCCTATAATAAGGCACTCAGAATAAACTAGCTTTCAAAATTGGTGTATAGCTTTTTTTCCAGGTTCATCAGTTCAATCACAATTCCTCTCCCTTTCCATTAATTACTGAATCAATACATTATTATTTCCTCGTTTTACAGGCTGTGGCATCTGTCAGGGATGGAAAACGAATTCTTTTCCAGTTTGACAGGGCAGCCTTTTCTTTGAAATTCCTACCATTTAAGGTACCTTATCCAGTTCCATTCAGACTTCTGGGAGATGAAGCAAAGGGTTGGCTGGATACGACATATTTGTCAGATTCTGGAAACTTACGTATTTCAAGGGGGAATAAGGTATGTAGCTTTAGCATGCATACTCTGTACAAAAAAAATTTATGGTTGTAAGGCATATACTTGTATATATTTATCTAATATCATAGTAGTGAGTAGTGACATTTATAGTTATTACATGCTTAACATTGAAAATTGAACCTAAGGACCTCTATCACTGTTCTGTAGTGCAGGGCACCACTTTTGTGCTCCAGAAGGAAACTGAACCTAGGCAAGAGTTGCTTTCTGCGATTTCTACTGGAATTGGAGTGACAGAGGTGAGTTTTCTGTGACGTTTTTAAGAGAGAAGGTGTGAATAATAAATATTACTTTTTTTGTTTTTTCATGTTTGTATCCATTACATTTGCTTGCAAATGTTGCAGGCAATTGATAAGCTAATTTCCACAGCTCAAGATAAGGATGGTGAACCTCAGCTTCTTGAGGGTGAATGGAAGATGATCTGGAGCTCTCAGGTATGATACATGTCAGAATCTCCTCTTTTTTTTTTTATTTATTTATTTATTTATTTATCACTCATATAGTCATATGTCCATAATATGCATAAAATATCGCATATTTTGCTTGCTGGTCATCATTATTCATGAAGACCAGAAGAATTCAATCTTGCAATGATGGAGATGAATTAACTTAGTTTAGTGTGATGAAGTTATGTGGTTCATTAGTGAATGATGATTATTCTATTCTTGAAAAGACTAATATTTTTCTCTTCTCTAATCATAACACTCCACATGAGAAATCTGAATTTACATTTATATTCTTCTATTGAAGTTAAAACTTATGGGATTAAGGCTCTGATTGATTAATTGATTGATATTGAAGTTGAACTTTTTTTTTCCGGGGCAGGTGGAGACAGACAGCTGGTTGGAGAATGCAGCTAACGGTCTCATGGGTTCACAGGTAAATTTGCAGCAAGTAGTGGTAACTTTGATGTAGAATAATTCTAACATTCATTTTTTCCTATTTTCAGATAATCAAGAAAGATGGACAAATGAAGTTTTTGGTTGACATAGTACTTGGCTTCAGATTCTCCATGACTGGCACATTTCAGTATGTCTTGTTATCTGTGTAGAGTAACTTGCAATTAAATTTAGGCAAAGAAAAGATGCAAACGTCTTTTATGGACTTTGTAACATAAATCTCCACACAACATAATGCTTTCATGCTACTGTAATCTTGTGTACATTTCTCCAGACCTGTGATTCTAACACACTTTTGGTGATACTTACAGGAAAACTGAGAGTAAAATATATGATGTGAAAATGGATGATCCAGTGATCATATTTGGTTCATTTGGACTTCCGGTTAATATGGAAACCAGATTCAACCTGGAGCTTCTGTGAGATATCTATCACCTGTTTTTTCAATTTGCTGATGATCTCCAAACACATTTTTGTAATAGATTTTTCCTCCTAATAAAATGTAACAGGTATGCAGATGAGAGGATCAGAATCACGCGAGGATACAATAAGATTATGTTTGTTCACATTCGTGTGTAGGCGTGTCACAGGTTCTAATAAGCCACAATTATTAGATATGCTCTAATTGTAAATTCACTAGACTTCCTTCTTGTCTATAAATCTATAATCCTTAAGAACAGTGAATAAAATTCATGTTCATTTATTGGCCATGTGGTCATAAGTAGAGCTGTCAAAAGTTGACCCGACCCGAAATACCGACTCAAACCCGATTATTTACCGACCCATTTGAACCCGAAAAAATGGTGACCCAAACCTGACCTGAAACCAACCCTAGACTCGAGTTGACCCAAGTATGTGAGACCCAAACCCGAACATGAACTCACCTGGAGATGACCTGACCCGAATGTAACCCGTAAATTATTGACCTAAACCGAACCCGACTTGAACTGAAATTGACCCTAACCCGTTTTAACCCTTCAAAACCCGAATTTAACTCGACTTGTTACTAACCTGACCTGATTTCAACCCGACCCGAATTTAACCCAACTTGTTACAAACCCGACCCGAATCAACCCGACTTGTTATTAACCTGACCCAAATTCAACCCGACTTGTTATTGACCCGACTCGAATTTTACCAGACCTATTACTAATAAGGGTGTTAAAAAATACCCGACCCGGTTGACCCGATAGATTTTAGCGGGTATTTTTTCAGTTGTTTTTTTCAAAATTAGCGGGTCGGGTACCCGACCCGATAAAACTGAGGTGTAGTGTGTCGGGTCATGGGCCGCCTTTTGTGTTAGATGGGTACCCGCTGACCCGCTAAGCTTTTTTTCTTATATATATATAAAAAATATATATTGCTACTTTGCTAGGGAATTAGGGTTTTATGCGCAGCCATTAGTCGTCATTCACTTTCTCTTCT